TTTAAGCAAATATTTAGAGCAACATTTACAATGCTACAGCATACAAGGTTAAGGGCCAATAGAACATAGAACATAGAACATAGAACATTAAAGCGCAGTACAGGCCCTTCAGCCCTCCATGTTGCGCCGACCTGTGAAACCAATCTGAAGCCCATCTAACCTAAACTATTCCATTATCATCCATATGTTTATCCAATGACCATTTAAATGCCCTTAAAGTGGGCGAGTCTACTACTGTTGCAGGCAGGGCATTCCACGCCCTTACTACTCTCTGAGTAAAGAACCTACCTCTGACATCTGTCCTATATCTATCACCCCTCAATTTAAAGCTATGTCCCCTCGTGCTAGCCATAGCTGGAAATTGGGACTAAGGTAGGCAAATGCTTCATGATGACATGGATATGATGGGCTGAAGGGCCTTTTTCTTTGCTTTTTGAATTGAATTTAAATTCCACCAGCTGCCTTGGTGTAATTTGAACACATGGCCCCAGAGAATCAGACTGGGCTTCTGGATCTCGGAGATACTCCAGTGCCACATTGACGTCACGCACAAACTGGAGGAGGAACACCTCATATTCCGCCTCGGGAGCCTACAGCTTGATGGCCTAAACATGGAATTCACCAGTTTTAAAATGTCCCACCCCTGGCCTCATTCCATGTCCAACCCTCCCTCTCATCCCTGCCTCCTTGACCTGACACAACCTGTCCATGTCCTCTGATGCTGCTTGGCCTGCTCTGTTTCTCCAGCTCCACACTTTGTTATCTCAGACTCCAGTGTCAGCAGTTCCTACTATCTCTCTCCATCTTCTCTCCCAGTTATCCACCCCACCCCTCCCCCTGGCCCAACCCCCCCACCCCCCAACTGCACTCACTCATCACCATCCCACCTACCTTACCCCAGCCCCACACCTCCTCTCTCTATTTATTTCTGAGCTCCGTCCCAACAGCTCCAGTCCTGAAGAAGGGTCCCAACCCGAAATGTCAACTTTCCTGCTCCTCTGATGCTGCCTGACCCGCTGTGACATCCAGCTCTACACTGTATTGACTCTGGGCTTCTGGGTTGATTACTGGTCCACTATATCCCCTTTTATTGTGGGACGACAGAACATCCTAACTTTGTCCATCTTCCCTATGTAACTACACTTTATTGATCTGTGCGGAACACTTCTTCAAAAATGGTGAACATTTCCATTGACTGAATGGAAACTCTTCTCATGATGGATTTCCTTTGAGTGGTTTTCAGACTGATACACCCAGCCTATGGGTCTCTCCAGTAAGTTCCACACATTTGGGCTTCCACCAAATGTAAATAGAAACGTCCACTCTTGCGACTATACAAAGTGAAACATTGGTTGCATGATACAAAATGGAATGACTTGCCAGATTTTAGATGACCAGCTCAATCACTGCAAGGCATCACCGATCCTCTGGTACGGATCTGGGTTTGGTACGAGTGCAGGGGATGGAAGGGGCCCCCATAAGAAGATGCCCATGACCTCTCTTGAATTCGCCAACTCCAGATGAATCTGTTCATGGAGCTGCCACATCACTGGCCTGCTGCCAATCACCTCACTCCCACTGTCGGCAGGGTTACCACTGCCGGCCAGACACATTCCCGGAATCCCATCACATGACCATCCTGTCTCCAACCACCTCACGCCCTACACTCCTGTCATTGGCTTTTTGGAGACAAACAGGGCTGGTGTGCCCTGTTGCAGGGAGGATGTTTCCCCCCTGGTTGGGGAATCTAGAACCAGGGGTCACAGTCTCAAAATACGGCGAAAGGACTGAGAGGAGGAAACATTTCTTCACTCAGAAGGTGGCCAACCTATGAAATTTGCTACTGCAGATGGCTATGGATCACTGACTATACCAAAAAAAATTTGATAAATTTTTATATATTAAAGGAATCAAGGGGTACAGAAAGAATGGGGGGAATTTGTGTTGAGATAGAGGATCAGCCATGGTCATAGTGAATGGCAGAACAGGCTTAAAGGGCTGAATGGCCCTACTTCTCCTCCCAGTTTGTATATTTCTACACCCAACACCTTCCAAGCCCTCGACCGTATTTCACGCATTTCCCGCAACTCATCCCTCACACCCCCTCCCCGCAATAACAACCAACAGAATCCCCCTCATCCTCACGTACCACCCCACCAACCTCCGGATCCAACGCATCATCCTTTGACATTTCCACCTCCTGCAATCCGACCCCACCACCAAAGACATCTTTCCCTCCCCACCCTTATCGGCTTTCCGGAGGGACCATTCTCTCCGTGACTCCCTTGTCCGCTCCACACTCCCCACCAGCCCCACCACACCCGGCACTTTTCCCTGCAACCGCAGGAAGTGCTACACCTGCCCCTACACCTCCTCCCTCACCCCCATCCCAGGCCCCAAGAAGACTTTCCACATCAAGCAGATGTTCACCTGCACATCTGCTAATGTGGTATACTGCATCCGCTGTTCCTGTTGTGGCCTCCTCTACATCGGGGAAACCAAGCAGAGGCTCGGGGACCGCTTTGCAGAACACCTACGCTCGGTTCGCAATAAACAACTGCACCTCCCAGTCACGAACCATTTCAACTCCCCCTCCCATTCCTCAGACGACATGTCCATCCTGGGCCTCCTGCAGTGCCACAACAATGCCACCCAAAGGTTGCAGGAACAGCACCTCATATTCCGCTTGGGAACCCTGCAGCCCAATGGTATCAATGTGGATTTCACAAGTTTCAAAATCTCCCCTCCCCCTACTGCACCCCAAAACCAGTCCAGCTTGTCCCCGCCTCCCTAACCTGTTCTTCCTCCCACCTATCCCCTCCTCCCACCTCAAGCCACACCCCCATCTCCTACCAACTAACCTCATCCCGCCCCCTGACCTGTCCATCCTCCCTGGACTGACCTATCCCCTCCCTAACTCCCCACCTACGCTCACCTTCACTGGCTCCAACCCCGCCTCTTTGACCTGTCTGTCTCCTCTCCACCTATCTTCTCCTCTATCCATCTTCTATCCGCCTCCCTCTGTCTCCCTATTTATTTCAGAATCCCCTTCCCCTCCCCCATTTCTGATGAAGGGTCTAGACCCGCAACGTCAGCCTTTCTGCTCCTATGATACTGCTTGGCCTGCTGTGTTCATCCAGCTCTACATTGTTATCTTAGATTCTCCAGCATCTGCAGTTCCTACTATCTCTGAAATCAGAAAGTGAGCTGCTTCTCCTTTACGCACTTGGATGATTTTGGTTTGCTAGTCAAATGGACTTCCCTCCTGTCTCCAAAATTTCCACAGGTAACAAATTGAAGATAATTCACAGAACATGGAAGAAAAGATTTTTTTTTTAAAAATGCTGCTAATAATGTTTCAACACGGGTTACTGGTAATACTGTCAGAGGAAATTAATCTTTAATTTCTGGGCAGTACAGAACGTTGCTGGATAGATAACAACCCTGCAGTCCCTGAGAGTTGCATTTGAGATTCGAACTGAGAAAGGACTGTTCTGTTCTGTCTGCAATAAATGACATCAAGTCCCAGTCTGAGCGAAGATAATCAGTAATTTCCCCATCAATCCACAAGACCATAAGATATAGGAGCAGAATTAGGCCATTTGGCTTGAGTCTGCTCTGCCATTCGATCATAGCTGATATGTTTCTCAACTCCATTTTCCTGCCTTCCCCCTGTAACCCTTGATCCCCTTACTGATCAAGAACCAATCTTTCTCTATCTTAAATATACTTGGCCTCCACAGCCTCCTGCAGCAAGGAGTTCCACAGATTAATCACCCTCTGGCTGATGAAATTCCTATTCATCTCAGTCACACTTAGAAACCAAACTGATGAATGGGACTTGAGTGATGCCTCCTCTCACTGCCTTGCACAGAGCTGCAGGAATAACCCTGCTTTTGTCAGTAGGCATTGCTACAAATGTGGTCATAAGCTCGGTTTGTTGTCATCCATTGAGAAGCTCCTTTCTGTTTGCTGCTTGCCAAATTAATTAGATTGTTTTATCATAGAACACCTACGGTGGAAGCAGGCCATTCCACCCATCTACTGCACACTGACTCTCTGAAGACCATCCCACCCAGATCCATTTCCCACTCTCCCCCCGACATTTCTCATGGCTGATCCACCTAACCTGTACATTCCTGGACACTAGGGGCAATTTACCATGGCCACTCTACCTACCCTGCACATCTTTGGACTGTGGGAGGAAACCGGAGCACCCGGAGGAAACCCACGCAGACACGGGGAGAATATGCAAACTCCACACAGACAGTCGCCCGAGGGCGGAATCGAACCCAGGTCCCTGGTGCTATGAGGCAGCAGTGCTAACCACCTTGCTACCCTTTGTTTGACAGAGAAATAACTTCTGTGATATAATCACTAGACAATTAATCCAGAGACCCAGGTAATGTTCTGGGGACCCAGGTTCGAATCAAACCATGGCAGATGGTGAATCCGATACATCGGGGAAACCAAGCGGAGGCTTGGGGACCGCTTATCGGATTCTCCAGCATCTGCAGTTCCTACTATCTCATGGCAGATGGTGAGATTGAATTCAATAAAAAGTAAAAGATTAAGGGTTTAATGACCATGAAACCATTGTCAGTTGTCAGGAAAAACCCATCTGTTCACTAATGCCCTTTAGGGAAGGAAACTGCCATCCTTACTTGGTCTGGCCTGCATGTGACTCCAGACCCACAGCAATGGGATTAGCTCTTCACTGCCCTCTGGGCAATTAGGGATGGGCAATAAATGCTGCCTGGTCAGTGATGCCCTCTTAATTCCAGATATTTATTGAATTCAAATTCCACCATCTGCCGTGGCACTATTCGAATCTGGGTCCCCCAGTTGTTATCTGGGTCTCTGGATTAACATTCCAGTGATAAAACCACTGGGCCATCAGCTCCCCGATGGACCTTATTTGGTGTAAAATAGATGACTATCATACATCTTTACTTGCTGAGTTACAGGGTGGGGCTAATTGGCACACTGCTTGACCTTACCATATGTGGATTGTCGATGGAGACTTGAACAGCAGATGTCAGTCCTTCCTTCAGCATGCAGGTAAATTCGTAAAATTCATGATCGCGATCAATCTCGAACAAACCCAACAGTTTCCATTTCTGTCTGACCCGCCACAGAAACTTCCTCTTCGCTGCTGTTCTTCGGCTCGTGCTGGTATCTTGGCTTTCCATCTGAAACAAAAAGTGAATCAAACAGTTTCAGGGCCTGAAAACCCTCTTAATCATTCATCCAACTGAGGCCCACAGAGGTGACAATACATTATTGCTGGTTTGTTGCACAGAGAACAGCAAGAAACCACAATATTAACCTGGGCTTGCAGTCTTGACTAGCAATGTCATCTTTAGCCGTAGAGAAATAATTCAGAGTTACCAACTTCCATGGAATGTATTCCTGGAAGTTTAATCATAATGTAACCTACTCTGTCCCCACAATCTTTCTGTATGTCCTTCCTAGTCATGTCCTGCCTGTCCTTGGACAATGGGAAGTGAAAAGACTTTGAATCCTTCAATAGGATGACACTTGATCATCAGTCGAGCAATATGCAATTAACAAGGATACGTTTTTGAAGAAAATTTTTTATGAAACACCTGCCTATTTTGAGGCCCAATAATTTTTCTCCTGGGTGTTGCTTACTGCATTGACCAGAAAGTGAACTTTAGATGCTGGAGCTGGCAGATGCAAGAGGCATCTGATGTTGAGGTTAATTCAGGTCAGTGGGCATACTGAAAGGGAAACTTTGTGTATTGGCTTTCACAAGACAAGGATTGCAGAGATTGAAATGCATTAGTCATAGTACTGGGCGCAACACAGTACGATAAATTCAGCTGACAACTACCAACTGATTCCTGGGATGGCAGGACTGACCTATGGAGACAGACTGGATCAGTTAGGATTATATTCACTGGAGTTTGGAAGAATGAAGGGGGAATCCCATAGAAACCTATACAATTCTGACAGGGCCACACAGGGTAAATGCAGGAAGATGTTCCCAATGACTGGGGAGTCCAGAACCCAGGGTCACAGTCTGAGGATATGAGTTAGGTTATTTAGGACTGAGATGAAGAGAGATTTTGTCACCCAGAGACTGGGGAGCCTGTGGAATTTTCTGTCACAGAAAGTGGTTGAAGCCAAAACATTGAATGTTTTCAAGAAGGAGTTCAACACAATTCTGAGGGTTAAAGGGATCAGAGGGTACAGGGAGAAAGCAGGAACAGGGGACTGAGTTGGATGATCAGCCATGTTCATATTGAATTGCAGAATGGTCTGGAAGGGCCAAATGGTCTACTCCAGGTCCTATTTTCTGTAAATCGGGGAGGGAAGACTGATCATAAATCAGAAATGAAGGTGTCAGATGACACCCACACAATGAGGGCACACCAGCACATCGTGAAGGAAGGCTCAATTATTTTGATCTGGCCACAGTTAACCAACAACAACTTGCATTTATAACACAGCCAACATATCCTCAGATGCTTCACAGGTGTACTGGGAGACCAAATGCTGTCACTGAACCCCAAAGTGGGCAACATTTGGAATTTGCTCAGAGGTTTACAGGATGGTGTTGACCAAGATGGAGATGTGGACAAGTCTGAGGAAGAAATTCCAATGTTTAGGATGATCACAACAGAAAGAAAAGAAGCTGATAAAGGAGCAAAGAGAGCAGAGGATGTCCAAGAGAACGGAAACGGAGGATTCTCAGAAGGTTTAGGAAGTCACAGAGATAGGGATGGGTGAGAGTGGAGGAATTTGAACATAGGATGAGAATTTTTAAATCAATGTGCTCAGAAAGGGAGCCAATATGCCAATAGGATGGCTGAACAGGACTTGGGGCAAGTAAGGTTTGAGCCAGGAGAGTTACTACACATTGGAGGTGGTTGTATGAGCCAATATTAATATCCTTCAAAATTCCCCACGCATTTCTATTCAGCTGTTCACCATCTACAAGGCACAAGTTAGGATTGTGATAAGACCATTAGGTGTCAGAGCAGAAATAGGCCATTCAGCTTGAGATTGCTCTGCTACTCAATGAGATCATGGCTGATCTGAGAATCTTCAACTCCACTTTCCTGCCTTTCCTCCCTAACTCTCAATTCCTTTGCTGATTAAAATTCTGTCTATCTCAGCCTTGAGTATACTTAATGACTCAGTCTCTATGGTCCGCTGCGGTAAAGAATTCATAGATTCACTCCCATCAGAGAGAAGAAATTCGTCCTCATTTCTGTCTTCACTGGACCAGCCCTTAGTCTGAGACAATGCCTTCTGGTCCTAGACTCTCCCACAAGGGGGAACAACCTTTCTGCATCAACCCTATCAAGTCTTCTAAGAATCTTATAGGTTTTGATGGAATACTCCCTGTTTGTCTGGATGAATGCAGCTCCAACAACATTCAAAAAGCTTGATATCGTCCAGGATAAAACTGCCCAAGTGATTGGCAGCTCATCTGCCATCTAAACATTCTCTCTCCACACCATGGCCAATCCACCCTAACCTGTGGGAGGAAACCAAAGCAATGCAGGGGAAACCCCACGCAGACACGGGGAGAATGTGCAAACTCCACACAGGCAGTCACCCGAGGGTGGGATTGAACCTGGGTCCCTGGTGCTGTGAGGCAGCAGTGCTAACCACTGAGCCACTGTGTCAAATCAATTATACTTATTTATTCATTTCACAGGATGTGGGTTTTGCTGCCTGGATCAGCATTTATTAACTGAGAAGGTGGTGGTGAGTCCAAGTAATAAGAAAGGGCCTCCCAGCTTAATTTCTTTGAGACATTTGAGTGGCTTGCGAGGCCATTTCCGAGCCATCCCCATTGCTGTGGGTCTGGAGTTGCATGTAGGTCAGACCAGGACTTCATCTGATGAAGGAGCAGTGCTCAGAAAGCTTGTGACTTCAAATGAACCTGTTGGACTATAACCTGATGTCGTGTGACTTCTGTCTTTAGACCAGGTGCAGACAGCAAATGTCCTTTCTAACTGCCATGGTGGGGTTTGAACCGAGCTTCCCACAGCATTAGCCTGGGCCTCTGGATGACCAACATCATGACATTACCCACACTACAATCTGCCCCTAAGGTGTCAATGGGGATAGAAGAATTAAACTGGAAGGTTTGGAGTGTAAACCAGCAACCAGCAACTGTGACCTGAGTGGTCTGCTGCTGTGCTATAAGAGCCCACATAATTCCACACAAAATCATCAAACTCTTATCTCTACACACTGCAAGAATGCTTGTCAAATTTCCAGTGAGCGACCTCAGGGGAGCTGCATAAGTTAAAGATGGCCACTTCACAGTGTTTCCAAAATTACACTGTTTCCACTTTCTACCAGTCCCTGAGGGTCCCTTGTAGTCTCCTGCTGGGATTACACTGGGAGGCTAGTTAATTTCCCCACAGGATTGCTGGGCTGTGTTGCTTAACGTAGATTGAGCTGAAAAAGGTGGATGAAACGCTACTGAGATGGAGAAAGGGCACCTTTTGCCAAGCACAGACCGTAATCTTCGCTCTGCAGCATGAGCTGGCTGCATTTGCAGTTTCAGCCAAATCTTGAGAGCTGTGATTCTGAAAGGACAATTGCTGGCATTTAATGGAAGACGGCAAACACTATGCTGTTGTGATTCTGAACGCAAGCTATTGTGCGGCCTGTGACAGTCTCGCTCTAGCAACTGTATTATCTATTTCCATGCAGAAATGAAATAAAGTCAGGGCTTTAAAGACATCCTCTCCTTCCAGTCAACCAAAATTGGACCATTGGCCTCCAAACTGACATTTCAAGGTTCAAGATACAAGTTAGACATCATGAACTACACAAATATGCACCCAGACTTGTCCCTGCTTCAGTACAATGGCTGAAAGCACTAGGTCCAATTCCTAGCACCACGTTTTAAGAAGGAGCTAAGTTTTTAGAGAAGGTTCAGAAGAAATTTATTAGAATGGCCGCAAGATGAGGGAGTACAGTGACATGGACAGTCTGAAGAAGCTGGGCTACTGGTTGAAAGCTGAGAGGAGATTTGGCACGAGTGTTCAAAATCACAAAGGCTTTAGAAAGGATAATGTTCCGGCCAGTGATCGAAGGGTCAATAGTCCCGAGCGTACGGATTTACAGCGAGTGGTAAAAACACCAGAGATGGCATGAGGAGAAGCATTTTATTAAGAAACAAGTGATTGGAATGCACTCTCTGACAGGGTGATGGATACAGTTTCAATCAAAGCCTATAGCAAGATGGATACAGTTTCAGTTGAAGCCTATAGGTAATGGGTACAGTTTCAGTCGAAACCTATAGGGTGATAAATACAGTTTCAGTCGAAATCTATAGGGTGATAAATACAGTTTCAGTCGAAACCTATAGGGTGATGGATACAGTTTTAGCTGAAGCCTATAGAATGATAGATACAGTTTCAGTCGAAGCCTATAGGGTGATGGATACAGTTTTAGTTGAAGCCTGTAGAATGATAGATACAGTTTCAGTCGAAGCCTTTAGGGTGATGGATACAGTTTTGGTTGAAGTCTATAGAGTGATAGATATAGTTTCAGTCGAAGCCTATAGGGTGATGCATAAAGTTTTGGTTGAAGCCTATAGAGTGATAGATACAGTTTCAGTCGAAGCCTATAGAGTGATGGATACAGCTTTAGTTAAACCTTCAAAAGGGACTGGATAAACACTTGTTAGAGAAAACAAAATGCAGGAAATACAGAGGGTGGAAGGCTCCTGAGCATATCAGGTTCATTGGGCTTAACGGCCTCCTTCTGTACTGCCTTAGTTAGTGATTCTGTAAGAAGGGCAGAGGGTTGTAGGGCTAGCGGTGGTCACTGAGACAGGGAGGGACACATCCATAAAGGAACTCAAACACAAACATGAGAATTTTAAACTTGAGGCATTACAGACCTCTCTGGCTTTTCAAATTCTGGCCTCTTGCCCTTTGCCAATTCCTTGGTTCCTCCCTTAGTGATGATGGTTTCAACCATCTAGCTCCTAAGTTCCAGAATGTACTCCCTAAACTTTTCTCTGTCCCTGTTTAAGATGGTCATCAAAACCCCACTCAATGTGCAAACTTTGGTTCACCTGCCCAGATATGTCTTACACAACAATGTATGTCCGGTGTTTGATAACTCCCCTGTAAAGGGCCTTAAGATATTTTACGATGTTAAAAGGCCCTATGTAAAAGTACATTGTTGT